CAGGATTTTTTCCCACAGAACACGGTCACGAAAACGTTTTTCCCGACCTTCCCGCGCCGGGGGGGGGGGGGGGGGTAGGCAACGGGAAGCTAGAAGAGACCACAGTCTGCATAGCTGTCACGCAGGTAGGTACGGTAGGCCAGCAAAAGACGCTAGCTCACCGAGGTTGTCAACGAACTCGTGGTCGTCGCAGATCATGTAGTTGGCGGCGCTCGCGAGCACGGTGGCTACGGCAGGCATGTTCCAAGTCCTTTGGCAAATATTGGCAAAACAACAAAAGAAGAAAACAAAACGTTGCATGCATGGAACACACGAACACTCCAGAGCAAGAATTTCAGGTACAATGATGGATCCAGGTAGGACGGGTCTTGCTCTACAAAGAGTTCCAGCTTAATGAATCGACACTAAGTAAGTTTGAGGTTCGAATCGTGTCGCCAACGTAGTCTCACCCTCAAAAGGAGTTCGCTTGAGCTACGTTACACATCCCAGAGGTTCATGAGTTCTCACTGCGAGTGGATGATGCCAAGGGGGACACACGCCAAGCAAGACCAAAAAGAAAGGCCAGCCCCGCCGAGAGGCCGACCTCGAACCCCAAACATCGTTCTCGGAACAATAGTGCCTACGGTGCTTCCCACTGGGATTTCGGATACAACAATTCGGTTACAACTCGGGCTATTGTATGATGGAGAAAATTGTGCGTGTGTTTGTGATTGAGTGAAACGAGCAATGGACTCCCCTTCAGCTCATTAGGCACCTTCCTTGCCCTCCTTTTTGTTATTTTTCTGTTGGCCATCCGGGGCTGGGGGGGCTAGGTTGGTACGGGTTCTCTCTCACGTGCGGTAGGTCTTCCGGTAGCACTCCAGGAGGTCCTCCCGCTTGCTGTCCCAGTCCGATCTCGCCAGAGGCTCCAGAATCAGCAGGCACGATTCCCACGCGGACTCGAAACCCACGCCCCCCGCTTTCCTACAGGAAACGGAGAGCATCGACCCGACAACGACAGCAGGGGGGATGGGGGCGACGCGCGATCACGAGTGGGGGGAGGGGGGGTTCAGAGAAGGACCGTCGTTGCATTTAGGAATGAATCTGTCTGGGGTCTTCAAAACGCGCGCAAGTTAGATGCTGCGGTGCATTCCGCTGGTGGCGCTTGACCCATGTTATTGCGTTCCGTACAGGGGTGGGAAACGTTTGCATCTGTCTCTGTGTGTCAGGCCGGCTTATCGCAGTGCGTCGAGATACCCTCTCCTACGTACTTCATCTGTAGATCGTTCGCAAGGGGTACTCGGCCTGGCACTACCTTACCACTTGACACTATTTCAGAGATCTAAATACATGCAGTGCGTTACCAGGGGGATAGACGATGCCTTGAAGAGCAAGAAATCAACTACGGGGATAGGAAAAATCCTAAAGAGACGACGGCAGCAAAGAGGACCTACACCAGCACTCTTCGAAGGGCACCAACCAGACGGAGGCCGGGGCTACTCAAACCGCGTTTCTACCGCGTAGCGGGCACGACAACCGTGAAGTTCGGAACAGCAACTCGTGTGCGAAGGTAGGTACGCACACACGCAGCAAATAGAAGCTACTGCAACAGTTCGAACGGCGGCCATAGCGTTCAGCAACGGAAATCGATCCCATCACCACACAAACGTGGACCTTGTAAGACTCACTTGGCACCGAAATCGGTGTCTGCGTAGATCTGGTCACCGAGGTGAAGCACGCAGTCCAGGTCTCCCGCCACCCGTGCCAGCCGGTCCCACAAGGCGACTTTCTCCACAAACTTGAAGCAGTTGCAGCTCACGCTTAAAGTTGCCAGGGGGGAGGGGGGACAGGAAAAAAGGACGTCAATGGGTAGAAATTGGGTGCAGCGGTTGCAGGACCACCATAGTAGCTTTAGTAGTGGCAGTAGTAGAAGAAAAATGAGTAAGAGTACTATTGCAGCAGTAGAGAAGAAGCAGCGGTACTCTTCCAAAAAGATGGCATGCGTCCAATCAACGAAGAATTTGTCGGGAAAGTAACAATGTAGTGAGTAAAAAATAACAAGAACCAACACAACTCCTTCAACACGACGTATTGTTCTCCTCAACGAGCTTGCCGCAGGTGTCGAAGGTTTCAGTGATCATCGTGACAGCTGCGCGTACTTGCGGGTGGCGAAACGACACGTGATGCCTGCTAACTAAATAAACCAAACACGGACGAGCTGAACCCTTTCAGTCTTCCAATACGAAATGCTCATACAAGGGTTACAAGATACCGATTGCATGTCGCGTCTTCCATCAGCTCTCTCGTCTCGTCGCATGATGATGAATAGTTTCGTCCCGAAAAAGCTAGGTATGTGTATCTAGACAACGTACATGTTTATTTGCACGCGGCTGCGTGTGTGCCGCATCAAAACAGACACACAGCCAGCCCACACCTGCAAGAACTCCGCTCCGAGATAAAAGTATATGAGATGCACTAATGCTACGCCTACCTACCGCCAAATACATCACAGAAAGCGAAATCGCATGTCAACTCACGAGGCAATCTTCCACTGGCTCTTGTCGGACGTGGTCGTGAATTGCGCCTCGCGCTCCTGCCCGAACTCCCCCACGTTCACAGTCACGCGGACGCGCTTTGCCGGCAGGAAGTGGTTGAGCTTGAACACGGTGGGCGTCTTAGCCCTGACCTCCTGAACGCCCCAAAAAAGGGGGAGCGGGGGGTCAGCGTCGAGGAGAATGAGAGCGGGGAGATGTGATGTCAGACGCTAGGGGTGTTTTTTTTTCCTCTTCCGTGACCCTTCTGTTTGATGAGACCGCGGATTGGAGCTCCAGCACGCCTGTAGTTCTCTTGTGCGTGAGCGCTAATTTAAAGTGATGTACTGTACATAAAAAAAAAAAATGACGACGGATGAACCTCCTACCCAACAGAAACGCTGGGAGCGCTGATGAAACGTGATGGGGAAAAACAAAAAATTGACTTTGGTCGGCTCGTGTTTTCTCTTCGTCACTTTCTTCGCTGGCCACTGCCGCAGGGAGGAAAACAAGTGTCGTTGCTAAGTCAAGAGGTACTCGTTATGTTTTCCCAGCTGAACTGAGATGGTCCTACTGCGTCACCACGTATTTTGCCCAGCGGAGCCGATGATAACCTCAGCACCACGCCTAACCGAGCGCCACACGCATGCAACAGAGATGTACAAGGTTGTCTCGGAGCGATGCAAATATGCGACGGCCGTGACAATCGTAAGGAGGTTTTCACGCCCAGCGATATGTGAGTGGTCGGGGTGGGGTTCGCTTATTGCAGGGGAGGACCAATAAAAGTTCGCACAAGTCTGCCACGAATCGTGCATGATACCATGAGCCTCTCCCCGTTGTTTTGTTTGTCGTCCTGATTCCATTCTCTCATGAGTCACAACGCCACCGTACTTTTTTTCCCATCTGCATCACCCCTTCATGACACTGCTGCTGCGGTGCTCTCATATTGAGCCAGCCCACTCCATTGGACAGGCATCCTTGCTTGAATAGAAAAACTGCATCATGCCATCAAGTAAGGCCACCCGGCCACTCAAGGAAAGCTCTCAAGAGGGATGGTGGTGAAATATTTTTTACGGTGAAGATCGGGTGATGCCTTGTCGACAACTGTGTTGACTTGCGCACCTGTACAAGGTGCCTTCACACTGAACTGAACTTTGGAGTATTCTGTACCTGGGACACGTTGCAGACGCTGGCGCCGTCCATGAAGGCCTCCATCGTGACCACCATTGTTGTGGCGACTTCGACTAGCACCCTGCGAAACCGGTGGCAATTGCACGGTAATCCAGGGCGTGCGTTGTGGGCGTAGAAACTATCGGACGCATCCCTGTTGGAGGAAAACGAAACAAAAACAACCCCCTTCGACCGCGGTTACATCTCGAATGGGTAGTAATAGCCTTTCTGGGTTTGTACCCATTTTTCTAGAAGAAATGATCAGATCAAAGGTGGCATTTGTCGGCGAAGCTGATGGATCTCCCCGCTTTGCTATATTCTCGGAGCTAGCACAGGGAATGTTCCCAGCACCTGTCACACCCGTCCGCACTACCAAATATTAATTGAAGAGGAGAGCATTGTATTCTCGATCACAACTCCAGCAGGCACGCGTGTCTCGTGATATCACACATACATACCAGCAGTTCTACACGGCAGTCAGACATCGATTGCAACTGCCCACCCACCCTCTCGACGACGAATCAACTCGTCGTCGTCCCCCCAACCTGCTAAGCTGTCGTCAGGAGGAAAGGCTCCGACTGCTGTGTGTCACAACCAAAACACCACACACACCCTCGGTCCAACGTCCCAGTAATTTGACAATGTTTCGAAGAGGTTTTGGGGGGACTTCGAAGCCACCCCCCCTATCGTAGGACGAGCCTCCCATGAAATGGCAGGGTGCAAACCCGCACATGTTGCGGAAGGTGATGCCACTGCTGTGAAATATTCTGCACGCGTCCCGAGAACGAGACCAAGGAAGATGGAGATTGCGGTGTCCGGTTCCATGGGCAGTTGGCGTGCTCGGAGAGAGGCGCGCCAACAATATCTTTCCCCGAACTTTCAACCACGAAAAATAGAAAAAGTTCGTGGCTACAGGGCCACGTACGTTTCTTCAACCTATGCATACAATACACCCGCCTACAGATGCTCGTCAGAGAAAGTGATGCAGGTATTTAACGATCCTCGCATGTTCAACTTGGCAGCAGTAACGGTCAGTCTTCTCGCATTTTTTTCCAACCGAGAAGGTCATCAATGTCACACGAAAACAGCCAACCAAAGACAGCGACGGTTGGCAACGACTACGTCAAAGCCAAGAACAATACCGTATTTGCTCTTATCTTGTGCCCTTGTGGGCATATTTCTTCACGGGTGCGCCCCCAACCATGACAGACACCCACCTCCATCAACCCTTTTGCGAGCCAGCGCGCGCATATTTGTTCTTGAGAAAGTAAGAATTCTCTGATCCGGGTTGGTTGCGTTTGGAAGCGCTCTCTCAGACAAGCAGATGCCAACCCCCTCTAAACACACACACACACACTGGACGATGGTCAACAACGTACCAGGCGCGCTACCTAGGCGCAAAATGTTTCCGAATATCGTGTCCCTATTCATCCCCGTGAAGTCCGGGGGTGGTGTGTGCTTCCGATCACGGAGACAAAGAAGATCACAGATCCTTCGCGCAGGGATTGATTTAACGGCTGATCGTCTTGCCGCAATACCAACCTCGCTGTCGTCTCGGTGACCGCGCCCACCACCGGTCCGAGCAAGTAAGGCGTCGGTCGTCCGGAGGAGGATGGCTCGCGCTCGAAGAGGCTCCAGTTGTCGATGCACACGGCCATGGTTCGGCCGGTAGTCTGCTGTGCTGTTCTAGGCGGACTCTCTCGAGACCTTGCTGTGTTGTTGTTGTGAGCGGCCGGTCCTCTCTACCTCCTCCTTGGATGAGGATGTAACCTGCCCTGCAATCAAGGAAGAGGGGGTCCTGGGTGGAAAATATGCGTCACCTATGCTGTCGGCGACTCCTGCTGGCTCTGCTTGGGAACTGCTGCCGTGGCAGCAACGGCTGCGGCTACACGCATGTTCAAGTGTAACGCCCCCCCCCCCCTCCCTGATTCGGAATATTGTATTGTTTGCGTCTCCCCCGGGGCAGGCGCATTGAGGCGCACAAGACGGCAGACGGACCTGAGCAGTGCCGGGGCAACAAGATTGTCCACGACGCAACACCTGGAAGGAGGAAAGGAACACGGGTCGCGATGCAACGGATGTTGAAGCATCTCCAGTGAAGAGCGCGTGTCTCCGGCCTGTGCGTGCAAAGCGTGGTGGGTGTTTCGATCCACTCTGCAGGAGTCAGATCTACGGAGATCGTTTGTATAGGTAAATAAACAGCGGAGGAACAGCAGCAGCAGCAGCAGCAGCAGCAGCAGCTGTGGGAACAGGTACATACCAGTAGCACCCGGGAGGCGCCACGAGAACGGTGCGTTGCCGTTGAACACGCACGCGAAGAGTAATACCGCCGACATGGCATCGACCGCCGAGCCGATTGAAGATAGTGATGCCGGCGTGGGTGCAGCGGAGGAGGCTCGCGCTCCCTTGCTCGAGGAGGGGCATGGCACGCTGCAGCCGCCTCATCGCCGCCGGACTGCTCAACAAGGTGAGGGATCATGCGTTGCATGCGATATCGATGACACCAGTGATGCTGTAGACCTTGCATCGCGTGACATATCATGCCACTTTTTGCTTTCCGTTGTAAGCACGACAGCACTGGCACTAATGACAGCGCGGGCCTTGCAAGATTCTCCTGGATATCGGCGTCCAAAAACAACCTGCCTTGGTATTACTGGTAGTCTACACGAGCAGGAATGGGACAGCAGCAGTAGCAGTGCCATGCCCTCCATAAGATGAAGATTGCGAGTAGCCATACTTCACTCCCTTGTTTTCAGAGGCAGCAGCAGCGGCCGCCTAAGAATTCGCTTTACAACCGCAAACCTCGTTGCGTGCCCGCTACTACTATAAAACCTCACTGGATGCCCGCTACTGCTGCTATTATACTACTGCTGTGAGCTCGTTGGGTAACCGCTACTGCTACTGCTGTAAATAAACCTCACTGGGTGCCCGCTACTTTCTGCTGCTGCTGCTGCTGCTGCTGCTGCTGCTGCTGCTGCTGCTGCTGTACATACCGCCGTCGCCGTAGGAAACCCTGACGAGAACGGCCAGGACGACGGCGCCTTGGACCAGGCGGACGTGGCTTACAGCGCCAACTCGTTTATGGCGGTCGTCAAGCCGGTGACGCTATGCATGACGCTGTCCGCCTTCATCACGGTGTCTCTGTACTCCGATGCCGAAGGGGCCACTAACAGGTAAGTTTATCTTTGTTTTAATTAACATCGACCACGCTCTCCTGCTGACCAATGAAAAGACGTCAGTCTCAGTGCGGTTGAATACAGAAAATGGGTCTAATGTGTGGATTTGTTGCTAAATAGCGTCGACCGCGCTAACCGGCTGGCCAATGAAAATGACGTCAGCGAGACTTCAAAACAGAAAATGATTCTAAAGGCCATGATCTGGGACCCCGTGTTGGGGCATCAGGTGTGTGTGCGTACCTGCTCGCCCAGGCAACCTTACCCGGCGTATGCAGGGCTTGAATGCTTTCTTGCCACCTGTTGGTCGGGCTTGTAGAACCTACTCAATGCCTCGCGATCGACTCTGCCCCCGCCGCCGCCGCCACTGCCGCCGCTGCCTCCGTGTCTACTACCCCCTCAGCGCGTTGTCCGTATACGAGGTTTACGACGAGTCGACTACAACCCTAGACCCTTCGTCGGTACGGCTTGGCAAGAGTTTCGTCAACGCCCTCATCATCGTGCTGGTGCTAGCAGGTACGATGCGATAGGGCGTATGGGAGCGTTTTTGGGGTCCAAGATTGATAGCGCTTCACAATGTCAAACCACAGGTCATGTGTTTGACCCCACTCCTCGCCTTTTCCCTCCTTGCCGCGGCCGGCGTGTGTTCTTGTCTCCCCCCCCCACCCTACTAACTTTCTAACTCCGTCTCCTTCTCCCTCTTCTCTCTCTCTCTTCCTCTCTCTCCCCCTCTCTGTCATGTCTCTGTCTGTTTGTCTGTCTATCTCTCAATTTCTCTCTCTGTCCCTGCCCCCCCCCCCCCCCCTTCACTC